TCTGAAAGAGACAGCTTTGATTAGTGAACAGTGCCTTTAGAACAAAGAGTAATAGGTGGTAAAAAAAGCTGCAACATAGTTTGACTGTAAAGATGCTACATCTGCATTGTTTTCTATTGCTGTTATCTTACCTGTCTAGAATGTGCAATAAGGACATGTTCTGAATGTTAATATACTAGAATGAAGATAATTAATCTCAACTCCCTCATCCTGTCTCAGAGAGCTACTGCTGGGGGACTGGTGGAATGAAAAGATCTGCATGCTTCTGCTGTTTAAATGTCAGTTTGTGCCTACTACATTGGAGTTATTGTTCAAGAACTGCTCATCACTCTATGAGTTGCTGAAACTATTAGCAAGCATGTTTAGCCAACTCATAATTTTTCCATAATTTCAAAAATATCTGTAAATTGTTTGCTCATCTGAGCTTTTCCAAAACTCCTTATTGCATAGACTTTCCCCTTCAAGTATCCAGAAAAATGTCTAGGAATGTGCATGAACTTCAAAAAGCGACTTTCCAATTTCATTTCATTGGAATGAGAGACAATCATATATAAAGGACAATACTGGGCCTAAGTAGTCCTGCCCCTCCAGACCTGCAGACCATGCTCCATCTGGAAGCTTAAAGGGGAGCAACTCAGCTTAGAAGAGAGAAGTTGGGGAGGAAGCTTCCCTGTGAGAAAGAAGACTGTCTGCTGAGCCCAGTTGGGGCTGGAGGTTTAGTTGGCTAGTCTTTTTGCTATTTTATATTGGACTTGAGGATGGTGGGGGAGAGTGATGACAGAGAATGACCCAGTTCTGGGGGTACTCCAGAGTGCCTGATACTTGTCTCTCTTAGGGCCCTGGGTTGGAGCCTGGTGGAGTGGGAGGGTTGGGGTTCACTTAACAACTGCACTTCTTACAGGAGGGGCATAAGATCTAAATTTAAAGACTCCAACAAACAAAAATTCTTTAGAATGATTGATAGTAGTAGTGAGAAACAACTTCTAAACAAATCACTTATCGCTGTTGATTGATGTGGCAAATGATTAACAAGTTGTGAAAACAAATCAGATCAATCACTTGTATCATGAATTGCGCAATGATGTAGATAGGTGCATGTGTATTTTCTGTAATACAGTTGCTGCCAACAAAGCTAAAGCAGATCATCTATTTTTTTCTTTTATTGTCTTGTATCTTAAAAAGCATGGTGGTTGATGTTGCACAAAATAGGAAGATGCATTTGTGTATATTATATTTGTTCTTCTTTCCAGGTTTTCGTCAAACGATCACAAATCAGAATCACGTTATTTGATGAAAATGTCTTGTACATTTTCGCTGTATAATTGCTCCTATTGTATTTCTTTTAGTAGCATAGAATATGTCAATTACTGTTTGCAGTCTTGGAGATGTATATATTCCTTAATACCATCTTCCCTGAAAGGCTTGTAAATAGAATAGTGATTTCATTTAGTTTATTAACATTGTTTAAATAGCTACATAACTAATGTTGATTTGCTGCCACTACCTTGGATATATTTAAACATTATTATAACTTAGCTCAACATTCCCATTTTACCTCTGAAATTAATGCTTTTAGGCTCAATTTATGCCTGTCAACAAATAATGATCATAGATGTGAGCTGGGCTGGCTCATAATCCAGAAGTACTAGGTTACAATGCATTGCCATGGAAACTGTGTTTTATTGCATTTTCTCTACTTGATTTAAGACATTTGACAATCATAGCAACTGTTTGCCTGTCTTCCCACATCATAAAAAATTCAAAAACACAAACATCCAATAGTGGAAAATCATACAGTTCTTGGACCTCACTATAAAAATAAAAAAGAAATGACAACCTTATATTTAACAAGGACCTTTTGTGAATAGTTTATCTCACAGAATGTCCAGGAGTGTTGGAAAATTCAATCAGTGGTTAGTCATCGATGGACCTGTCTTGCCTGTGGTTCATTTTGTTTATTGCATCATATATTTTTTATGATCACTGGGACTTTAGCCTGAAACAGCATTTTCTTTAACAAGAACCATGTTTCCTCTAACGTTGTTTATTGCATCTGAAACATTACTCTTTGAAACCATGGTACATTTTCAATTGAGCAAAGGTCTGTAACTGAATACTGCATGTCTGTGTTTATTCAGCATCCAGAGTAAAAAATATCCCAGTTCATGTAACATTAATCACTTTGCCAGTGTAGCTGAGGTCATTGCCACATTCCTAGCAGTATTAAGGCGAGTCAAGATTAATCACATACATTAAACCCTGCAAGGAAAGCACGTGAAACGGATTTGAAATTAGACATTTGGTAAAAGACTGAGAGCACTGTAACAAAATATGTTAGCACTGCTACAGCAAGCACTTGGCATGATTTGGGATTTTTCTACTACGCTGGTGTCAGCTCATCTATATTTAAGAGTTTGGCAGTGTTTTCCATTTCTGAGTTTTTAACTAAAATCTTTAGACAAACATTCTTCGTTTTTGAGAATGATTTTTTTCTTTTGCTTACTCCTTGAATATATGAGTAAAAATAAAATGCATTTTAAAAACACATTGTGCTTTTTTATGTAACAAAAATAGGTTGTTGAGTTTTGAAAATAAAAACAGATACTAGGACCATATGGTATTTTAAAACATACCAACACTAATACTGTCTAATGGACACTTAAAAATCAGTTATTGCTTATACACTCTTTATTCTTTTTGTATGCACACATATTAACAATGTAATGCTTCATATTTCACACAGACACAATTCAGAGTAGTTGTCTCACTGAGGCATAAAATATGCATTTTAAACTACATATTTATGTTGTAAATGATAGAGTAACAATTTCTGTGCCCATTCTCTATTAAAGGTTTGTTTATATTTAATGTGGTAGGTTTTCATAAAAGAGTAAAAACAAACAAAAACAAAACATTGCTAACGCTGTTGAGAGCAAAGGCATATTTAGGCCTGACAGAAGCCTGCTGTGGATTTTAAGACTCTGTTCTGATAACATTTAACAGTGTAAGCATTGTATGTGTAAGAACTCTGTATGTGTAAGAAATTGCAGAATAATCATTTGTGAGAACAAAAATATATAAATAAATAAATAAATAAAGTAATGGAAAAGATCGATCTGAATTAACACTAAACGTATACTGTCAGGGGAGGAGAGTTCTCATGGAAATTAGACTAATACGTATGTACAAGACAAGATAATAAGAGTTATAAATAGGTTGGATTTGTTTGTTTGTAACAAAGAGAGGTTGAAGCTGGAGACAACTGTGGGATGAGATTGTCCTGTATGAGCTTCCCACTTGTAAGTAAGTGATCACTACTTGATGAGTGTTTTGTCTTAATAAATATTTGTTAGACCCATCTGAATCTCAGTCCAACAAAAGTGACACTAAATTTGCATGCATATATTTTTGCAATGAAAATTTATTACATTTAAAGAACATTGAATTTCCAGGGTTTATAATTCTTTTAAAATATAGAGTTAATATTAAACTTAAAAGAAAACTAACTGTGGAAATAAAGCTAAGGTAACCAAACTACCTTAATTCTGCGCCTTTGCAATGCCCTGAGAAAATCAGATACTCTTATTCCCTTCTGCATCAGTAACCCCAAAACCTAGAACTGCCTTATTATACATTGTCTAATGGTTCTGCTACTTTATGGCCTGCTTTACAGGTCACATACAGTACATATTTACCATCATACCGTATGGTGAAATGCAGTACACATACTTTATAAATTCCTGATCAGGCAGCCAGCCTGCTGATGGGAATCATTCCTTCATCCTCATTAAGAGCCCTATGCCGCGAGGTGCTACATGAAGTATTTCCCCCTTACTTCCTGAGGTGTGCAGAAGTGCCTCACTGATGCATACTTCCTAAGGTCCTTAGGAGAGAAGCCCATTTCCTGCAGACCTTGGGTAAGTGCATCAAGTCTCATGAGTCTCCTAATCCTTGTCAGGGTCACCATTGCCAGGCTCTACAAGCTTTAGGAGACATATTGAGGCATCTCCAATGCTCAGTGATCCTTATGTTTGTAATTGCCTCACCTGTGAAACCTAGTAGCTTGAAAGGAGTGGAGCTATGAGGTGCATGGTGAGGGAAGTGGGCTTTTGGCAGGTGGTTATATGGGGGAGAATGGGAGAGGTTACTAGCAACTCAATGCTTCAGGAGAAAGCAGGGATAAGCACTAGTGCTGCCCTGGCTCTTGCAACTAATGATCCTCCTGTGAGTCATCATAGTGGAGGCCTGTTACTGTGAACCACAGGAAATTTGTTGTGTAGAGAAGGCAGAAAAGTGGTAGTTCGTCCCCTGAGGTGCAACTGAGTGGCTTCTCCACACTAGGACCTCTCCTGGTAGCCTTCATGCCTGTTAGGCAAAGAACATAGGCTCATGCCCCCATTTCTCCTATCAGAGATCCTTTTCTCCCCATGTTCACCACACTAAACTGCCAGTGCATTGGAAATGGCTGCAAGCATCTGAAAGGGCTAAATGGAGCAGCTTGGTGCAGTAGAGGCTGTGGGGAAACACTAGCGGTTCCATTTCTTTTCCACCTGATGAATGTTCTGTGGCTTGTCAAAGGGTAGTCCTGCTGCCGTGAGAAATGTCAGAGGATTTCAGGAGATACTGAGGAAGAGCAAACTGGCTGAGAATAGGGAGCATTCTCTTCTCTTCCCCTTCCCTGCCCCTACACACACACTACCCGTTGGGCACTTCAGGTCTGCAGGGAGTAGGGGAGACAACTTAGCAAGCTTCAGGAGGTTCATCAACGCCATTTACAAGCTTTAGGAGACTTGTCTTGGTCCTCCACATCTTCCCACAATCCGTTGGTAGAAAAGTTCTGGGATTTCCCATTGACAGGGTTCCCTTATGATCAGGATGCATTCTGACATCTATCTCTCTAAGAAAAGGGGCTACAGACTTGTTTTATTTTTTAAATGCAAGTTTAATTTAAATTTTGAAATTAAACTTTAATCATCTGAATCTTCATCTTGGACACAAATTTCAGCTAGAGGCATACAATACACAAAATTTTATTTTTCTTCTACTTTTCCTTGTTTTGCTATAAAGTGGCAGAGTCCAAAGATCAATCATGGCTCTGCCAGACTTCCTGTGTGGACTTAACAGCAAGTTGCCTTAGCTTGCCCTGCTGAACAATGGCTAGGTATTATCATCTCCATGTTTATATCAAAGGTACCTGTGTCTGTGGCATCTAGGGGCTGCATCATACTTCACAGGGATATTCTGAGGATTGACTAATTATTTGCGAAGTCTTTTGAGCTCTTCATGGAAAGAGCAAAAGAAATATAAAGTACTAAAGACATTTCATCTCCTGAGCTGCCAGTTTAGAACCTTTCACACTTACTCCAGTAATTGAATGTTAGAACAAATCTGTATGCATAGTACATTGTATTCTCTTTTCTCATGTTTTATTACTAAGTACTTTTATATGAAAACCATGATGCAAAAAGAAACCACACTAACTCTAACCCTAATAGCTAAATATCCCAGATATTAAAAAAAGAACATCATGTTTTTCCAGCACTCTATTTGAGGAAAGCTTGGGCTCTTGCCATGGGCTCTTGCCATATTTCTACACAGCCTCAAGTGTGCGCAGGGATGCATTCTTGCCCTGGCACTATTCTGTTCAGCTATCGACTGGGTATTAGGACTTGTCCTTCCACATGTCTGAATCGAGGTTGGTCAAGAAGTCTTCGCTGACCAAGACTACGCTGATGACACTGTCTTGCTTGTGGAGAATTTCAGCCCCACTCTCCAAGGTCTCCAAGATACTGCCTGCACTATTGAGTGGAACATCACATGACAGCAGACCACGGTTCAGAATCTCAGAGTTGGGCCACCAGAACCCTTGGTGCAGGTATGGTAGAGAACCAGAGAGAGAATTGACAAGTTCATCTCCTATGCTGAAAGCATTATCTGAATGGTGGCAGCAAACAAACAGGTCTTGCTGCCTCCTACATGAAGTCCATGTCTCGGTTATGAATGCAAAAAAGTCTTTGCACTGAGACAAAGTTCAGGATCTATCAAACCTGTGTGCTACTTGTATTGCTATATGGGTCAGAAACCTGGACCCTCTTGCAGGCAGACTTGGAATGACTAGAAGCATTCCATATGAACTGTCAGCACTAAATCCTGAGCATGAAGTGGTTTGACTTTATGCAAAATATCAATCTTGCAGGGACCTGTTCTTCTTTCAATTGCTTATTACATTCAAAAGTAGCTGTAATACACTGCTGGAAGCACCCAGAGCTACAAACCACTGTGTTATTTCTCTGCCTTAGCTAGATTAAATTGTGTCAGCTTCTTGCCACACCAGTCTCTCTTCCTCACCAACAAACTTCTCAAGGCTCTCCTGGCCTGAACCTCGCCTAGCAGGTAAGAATCAGTGAACTCCAGGCCCCCGAACTCCTCAGAGATGTTTCTCTTCAATGCACAGCCCCTACCAGTGCGCATTCACACATGACATTAAGTTAACTGCTCTTTTAAAGAGTCAGTACATTACAGTTTATTAACGTAATTGGGATATACATACCCGTCCCTTTAAATACAGTACTGAGTTGGTATATAGTAAAAAGTTTATTAACAAAAAGCCATAAGTTAACACCAACTAAAAGAAATAAAGGTAGAAATGGTTTCAAAACATGAAAGTGAAAACACTCATCTAAAACACTAAAACTTAATCTAGCAAGATAGTCTTTTTTTCTAGATGGCTTCTTTTACCCAGAGAGTCCTTTCCAGCTTTTATTGGCCAGGATCTATCACAGAGATCATAATCACTTGCTTCTTTGCCTCCTAAGGTGAAGGAGAACCCCAGGGGTTCTTTGCCCCTCTCTTTTATAGTCCAGTGAACCTTTGAAATGTATTCGTCTGAAGAGTACCTCCAGCTAAAGTTCATTAGTTCATACTGAGTACAGTAGCATGAGGTCCGAAGGATAAGGCTCCATGCTGATTCATCCCCTGCCCCCCCCCCTTGCTGGTGATTGCTACAATGCAATTGATCTGTTCCTGCAATCTCTGGTATACAAATGAATAATGAATTGATTGTAATTGCACCTTGATGGAGGCATCGGCCTTTCCTTTCCTCTGAATAAAATTTGTTTATCAACTACCCAGACTTGTTTGGTGTGGACCATTTTAGTCCCACATTTCCAGTGCAACTGTACAGTCCTTTGGGTAATTACTGTATATATAAGAATAAAGATCAGTGTGTTAGTTTTTATGATGATTCCTTACATGACACCTATGGGATATAGGTTATGACATTAGTGAGTTGAGATACACTGAACTGGTTTGGTCATCTGAAACTCACTGCTAGATATCAGGGAGCTCCTTGTCCTCTGACAGTGGGATGCACAAAAACACCCCAGCAGACTGGGCTCTCAAACTCTCCATTGATGTGTGAAGGGGTGCATGCCTTGACCCAGTAGGCACTGCCCACAAGGCTGCCCCAGAGATTAGTGGATTCACAGGATTCCCGATCTGGGAACTTCACTACTTGCCTGGTCTGATGCCATCAAGTGTGGTCACTATGGCTGGCACAATGGTCTGCAGTAAACTATGTTTTGATGATATTTCGAGAAAGCTTAAAGATGAGCTTCAAAGGGAGGGAAAATAGCTATGGGCCTCCTCCCCCTTCATTCATTACCCCAAAAGTTAATTAACATAGAGTTAAAGTTGACTGGCAATGGCTCATACCCTTCAAGTGAACCTGCATTTAAGTCTCTAAAAAACATGAAATATAATGAGACTTATATCTTGCCTCAACTTGACTACCTCAACTTGAACCACTAACACTATCCCTGGCCTAATGTGGCATAGTAATATTATGGTAGCAGTGCCACCACAGTTAAGGTTACACCAAGATTTCCATTTTAATGGGGTTGAAAAAGATCTACAAAAACTCTTTTGGATTATGATATCACTTTTAAACGTGTATTGTATTTTGTCCACTGTTTGATTTTTCTGTAGAAGTTTGTAGAGGAAAATATCATTTGAGGTTGCTGTCTGTTTTTAAAAAGGTGCCATGTGACTGACATTTTTTCCAGTGTACAGTGTTTGACCTCTCCTTCACACCCCTTTTTTCAAGGAACTACAGCACTTTGACGGATACAATTGATAGGTATGAACACTGGGTTTGGTAAATTGGATTGGATGAATTATTGTAGAAAAGTGAAATTTGTTTTCTTTGTTTATTTTTCATGATAACATAAGGTATTGTTTTGATTGGTGACAGTATCGTGGTACTGCATTAGTCAATATCTACCACAGGCCACCCATTTGAAATTCCCTGAGAAAGGGGATTGATCTCTGGCTTTAGGGCAGTTTTATGGGAGGGGCTGTCCTGGAGCTGCAGACCCTGGAAGTCAAGGGGTCCATGACTCTGAGGCAGTCCATCTGGTGGGCTATCCCAGAGTCATAGACCCTGAAAGCCCTGGGTTCCCCAGTCCCAAAATAATCCACATGGTGGGGTGCTGTATATCCTCAAACCATGGGCTTCTGAGGAGCCAGTAGTAGAGTTGGCAGGGAACAATGCAGGTTTCTGTTGGAATCTTGCCTGGTTTCTGGAGGAACTTTGACAAAAATCAAGCTTTCTGTGCAGTACATCTTAACTTTGACTAATTAGAAAGTTCAAACAAAAAAACTGTTTGTAATTGTAATCTTTCTGCCCAGCTCTATTCAGTAACCCCTTTGATCACATTGATGAAAGTGGAAGCTACCTGCTTTCTTTGATCACGCTCAGTACCACTATTCAGGAAATAGGTGAAAAGCATGCAGCATGCTTACATTACCTTAGCGCTGCTACTTATTGGAGTCTTTCATCTTCCCTCTAGTTCATTAATGCTGTTTTCCTTGATAATACCCTACAGTAAAATCAGAGTATGCATGCAAATTTTAGAGTACTCTGAAATATTAAACTCTGCTCTCAGGGCAAAACTTCCAAAGAAGCCCCTGCAGAATGCAACTAATGTGCACAACACACATTCTCAGAAAATTTCCCAAGGCATGACTCAAACTTACAGTACCTAGGAGCTGTTTGGGTTTAGTAGCCACAGCCTGTATCCTTGAGCTACTACCCACTTACTCTGAGATATCACCAAATACTGGCTTGTGACAGCTCCAATCTTGCTGTACATATGCCAATGACTTTCTCTGGCTTGACAAATGGGCTTGAGTCATAATGTAGATCCAACTTTTTTTTTAATCTTGAAAAACTTTTAAAGTATTCTTTCCCCAAAGACCTAATGGGCACTGGACACTAGCTGAGATAAATCCCTGGGTGATATCAGGGATATCTTAACTACAATGGTGCTAATGTCTGACTACAATAAGGAGGGCCAATTTTATTTTATTTTTATTTTAACAATAAATAAATTCATAAAATTTAAAAAATCTGCTTTATTTTTACTTTGAAGTTCAGATTCTGTTTGTTCCAGTTTTTGTCTGGGATGGGAGAATGGCAAGTGGAGAGAGAGCAAAATGATGATGTCACAAGACAGTGAAAGTTGAGCAACTGGGAAAGGAAGGAATTTCTAATCAAATGGTTTGAAATTTTGCTCTTTTGTTAACACCTATTTAATTTAAATAACTAATTAATGTTCTGGGAGAGGGACTGCTTGTTTAAAAATTCCACACCTCACCTCTTCAATTCAGAGGTGAAATCTAACAATGTACATCTTCTGAGCTCTGCCCTACCAAGCCAGAGTTGGCAATGCTACTATTTCTGACCAAAAAAAAAAAAAAAAATACCTGAAAGAAGAAGAGAGTCCAGAAAGAGGGCACACCCAATTAAAAAAGAGAGAGAATGTGTAAGTCATTTTAAAATACCAAATGTTCCCCAGTCTCCATGTTGTAGCCCAAGCTGCTACATTTTCATTGGATGGTGGGAGAGGATGCCAAAAAAGGTTTTTCTGGATGAATGCAAGTATATTACACATTAGAACATGTTAGGCCCATTATTTAATTCCGTCATTAATGGACACCACCCAGTTTTCAATTTAAGCATCTTTTTCAGTGTATAATGCCAGTGCCAGGTGCCAAGAGTAAAAACTTATTTGTTTGTGAATGGAACACTTAAGGCCTGATTATTTTCCACTGCTTATTTTCAGGAGTACTCCTCTGAAGTCAATAACAAGTTCAGTATAAGAACCTTAGAGTCTCTTCATGAGACATCAAGTGCCATGCCATATTCGAAGTTGGAAACTTTTAAGCTGCAATTAGATATATATTGAGTAAGCCATTAAAACATCATTTCATTTTAATGATTTGTATCTGTGAGAGGATGTAAATTAGTAATGGCCTATTAAATGTTACAGTTTAGGTTATTCTAAAAAAGACGTGTATATTAGAGGATGAAAAAAATAATTAGCTTTTTTAATATACTTAACCACATCCCTTTCAAACACGAATGAGAAGAATTGAAATAATTTAAGGAAATTTAACATGTTTTTGTCACTATTTAAAGAAAAGGTTTGCACATGTTCTACAGCTTGAAATTTTCCAAGAAAGATGATTGCAAACTATTATTGTATATTTGCAGAACATTTCCCCTTTATATTTGGTGTCATGGATAGGAACATTCCATTCAATACATAGATTTTGGGATGCTTGAATCCCTAAAGTCCTCCTGAAGGCTTTTTTTATTACATAGGTTACTTAAAATTAGTTTTTATGGCTGCTGGCTGCTCCTGAAATGCATATCAATGAGCTATCTCTGAAAAAGGAAAAATCTTTAAAAAAAACAGAGGACACTAATTTTCGTTATTCTGAGTAGGAGGTATAATGTATTTATAAAGTAATAATTAAAAGAAAAACAATTACTTGAGCCTTATCTGGACCTTGCAGCTGTACTTCCTCCTTTTGCATTAGCAGTGTGTGTTCTAAGGTTATGACAAACCATGAAAATTGCATGTTAAGAGGAGTTTTATTCCTTTTCCTATGATTTGATTGAAACAGACAGCTACATTTTGTGTATATATAATTAGGCAGTAAAATAGGCTTTGAAGGCAGATTTTCATTTAGTATGTGAGTCACACGCACAATAGTCTTTCATTCAACAGCCAAAGACTGATCTTTTTAATGCCTCAACTTGCTCAACATGTTTTCTGAATGCTACATCTTGAAGGGGGGAAGAGAGAGAGAGAGAGAAATCAGCTTTTAAGACATATTTTGCTTTTTTTTCTCCTTTCTCAAACAAAAAACTATCTGAAAAGCCAATCTAGCAAGTCTGCGGTGATTTAACCTTACAACAAACTGATTTTTATTGTCTTTTTTTCCAGATTGTTGTCCAGGGCAGCGATGAATGCTGCACCAGTTCTAGGCGTATCTAATCCCTCTCATAAAAGGCCATTGTGGTAGTAAAACTGAGACCAATGGCTTTTTCATTCTCCATCTCTCAGCACTCCAAAGTAAAGGCACTGGGGTCTCCTCTTCATGTTTTTCTTTTCAGATGCATAGTTTCTCCTTTTAATAAGGTGAAAATGGGGAGAAATAAAAGGAATACAATCACATCTTCCCCAGGTTCTCCATAAGCACCTTTTAGAAAACAAAAATAGAAATAATCATCTGCAATATTAGTTGTGATGTTATGTATGATAAACTTGGTTTTTTTTAATAGCAATATGCCTTTGCAATTTTATGGCCACTATTTGAACATGTTTAAACATTATGCAAATAATAGTCCTCATCTTTTTCCTCTTAGGGTCAGATTCTGCCACACTTCCTTGCACTGAAATCAAGGGGACTACTGACAAAGTAAGGAACTATTCAACACGAGCTTGGCTATCAGAATCTAGAAGAGCAATCATGTATTGGCGTGCCATTCATTTATTTTTTGCCTTTTAGAAATTTGTGATGTATTTCTGCAAACCAACAGGTAGAAAGAAGTATCAAGATAGCTGAACTGTAATCCAGTTTTAATGTATAGGACACACAAGAATAGTGGGTATATAATGCAATTGGGGGGGGGGTTAGATTTTTTTCTCCAAATGTCCCAACCTATGTATATAAAGGCACAAATGATTTATGCTAGTATAAGGCCATTGCATTAAATAGTTTGAAAAGAATTTGCCATTTTGAACTGGAATACCAATCTGCATTTGATACAACCTTGATTTTGACACCACAGGAATGGTTTTTCACCAACAAAACAAATTGAGGCTTACCAATTATCTGTTTTGTTGGTTTTTTTTGTTTGGTCAGATCTTTTACTAAACAGATATATATTAAGCAAAGAAATTAGATTTATGGCTAGACATATTTCACACAGGACATATTTGCATCTGTAGTAATTTCTTAAAATTAAATTATTTTAGTACCTCCTTTTAATACCACTATAGTTAAAGATATCTCTTCGTATCACCGTTAAAAACAACCAACCAAACAAAACAAAAACACAACAATGTTTAGGGGTCATAAAACTTTGCTCCAGGCTAAAACTTGGCATAAGAAATTTAAGCTAGGGCTGTCAACTGTTATAGGGATCTTTGTTCCTCACCTGCATCCTTTCAGCTGCTGGGAAAACACAGGTGGCTGTCCCAGAGATCCTGCCCCGTGAAAGAGTTCCACAGGACAGAGTAGTTTCATACAAAAGGTAATTCAGCCTGGGCTTGTGCAGATTTCCCATGGGAATGATTCTCCTGGCTACATCCCTCTCACTTCCTTAATGCAACTCCAGAAGTGGTGCTGTTGAGGCAGCTGAATCTCTCTTCCATATGGAAGGCAGCAGATCCACCTGCAGAAGTTGCCTTCCATACCTGAGGGAATGGTCCATTCTCTATATTATTATTTAAAACACAATTTTTATGGCACTTTCCCTGTAGTAGCTGGGTATTCATAACTACATTACACTTGAACTCAACATGCTTTATAAACTCTAACCTCAAACCATCCACATAAGGTAGGTAAATCATTATTACCTCAATTTACAGAAGAGGACAGCAGTTGAGATGGTGAGACCCACATTTTTCAAAATATGTCTGTAAAGATGCACACACACACACACACACACACACACACACACACACACACACACACACACACACACACACACACACACACA